GGCAGCCATCGTTTGCATTTCATCTTGGAACATTCTCTGGTCACATAGTTATTTGACCATAGGTGATAAAGCATTGTCTTGGCCTCATCAGCATCACAGTTCAATCCACTCAGAGGTCAGGTTCCATCCTGATCACTTGTCAGCACCCTGCCTTTGATTCTGGTCAGTGTCCTTTTCAGAGCTCTTTTTGTTAAAGAAACCCCACTTGGTAAAACTAAAGAAGATAGCTACTCAAAGGCAGCTCTGCACTTGACTCTTCTGTTCCATTGGGGAGTGGTTGGTGGAAGAAGTTCCTGGGTTTGTGAGTGTTTGTGATCATGATCATTGTAAGCACCTGTGTGTATGAGAGAACATTTCCTACTTGGGCTAAACTCTGACTTTTGTGTGAGAAGTAGGCCTCCTATCTGAGGCTATCAACTCTTTCTTAAGAGCTACTAATGTCTTCCCCTGTTTCTCTGAGTTGACACAGATTTTTTATTTAATGATGTAGCCTCTTCTGCCAAGACTTTTATTAATTGTTTTCTACCACCTATCGATGAAGCATTACAGGGTTATTGTCCTCATTCTGCGGTTGAGAGAATAGGGACAGAAGGTTAAGCAACTCATGTAAGACCACATGTCAAAGCAGGAACGGAGTTGGCAGTAGAAATCATATTCCTGGAATCTTGGTTGAGTGCTTTCTTTAAAAAGAATTATGAAAGTTTCAGACAAACAAAAAGGAGCAAACCATAAAACAACAAACATTTGGGAACACATCACTCAGCTTCAGAAATTTTGTAAGAAGCAAATATTTACAGAGAGAATGGAAGCCCCTTTGTACCCCTGCTGGTTCCAATCCCTACTTTTTCCATCTCTGAGAAAATCCATACCCTGAATTTGATCTTTTACATTCTCATAAAAAATTTTTACTCCATGTATATGTATCCATAAAAAATAAGGTGCTGTTTTGCACAATTAAGTTTCTAATATTACTGTTATTTTGTATGAATCCTAGAATTTCTCTTTGTTTTTTTTTGTTGAAAGCAGTTTTTAGTATATATCAAGGGTGATGCATATAGTGTGTTTATTCATTTTGCCCATTATAAAATATTGCATTTCACAAATATGTAAGTTTGTTTTCTTTATGAACATTTAAATGTTTTCTTAATGTTATTTAATATTATAAACAATAATGCAGTGAGCATTTTTGTACCTTTCACCTTCTTATTACTTTCTTGAACCCCATCTGAAATAAAAGAATACTTTTACAGAAACAGGTGCAGAGATTCAATTGCCCTGTCTAAATTCAGTGTTAGAATAATGCAGGATTGAGTAGCAAAATCTGCTTACTGGCTTTTTTACATTTGAGGTTACTCATTCTCAGTCTAAAACCAGTCTGTGTTCCATGGTTTTCAGTTGACAATACCAGGATTATTCTTTATATCTTAAAATTGTTCATTTTAATCCACAAACTAGTCATTGCTAATGATACTTATTTCTGGAAGCAGACCTGAAATTCTGTGGCCAGGAGGATTTTTGTCAGGTTGAAAAAAATTAGCAGTGACCAAAGTACCAAATTGATAGGGATGTGCTCTGAATAAAGCAAGCCGTTATAACTATAGAAATAGAAATTGTGGCCTAAAATTTTAAGAACATCAAAAGGACTCCCTTCTAAAGAGCATGCCAAGAGGAAAGGGAGTGAAATCTCTGTGGATCATCATGTCTGTCTACCCTAATGCACTATTGTTATGAGGTAGAAATGGGCAAAAGTTGGCCATTTGTTTGATTTATTTTAGGAGCATCCTACCCTGTTTAAAATGGCTGACTAAAAAATCTCCATGTCAACAATGACATTAAATTAGTTTGAAGAATAATTGTGCTGTGTTCAGTATCCTCAGAATTATGAAGAAGCTAGCCTATGTGTTAATAGTGGAACTGCTTTTTAGTACCACCAGCTAATTGTGGAGACACTAAGAACAGATTGGAGGCAATTACTGGCATAGGAGTTGGGAGACTAGATTTTTGACATGACTCTTACTCTAATTATGAATCTTGTGAAAACGTCATGTAAGCATCTTGGACATGGGGTTGCCCTAAATAGGTGCTTTGCAAATTTTTTATGTTGACTCTATAGGTTGTTAAGTGAATTTGGTGGGTTGGAACCAGCATTCAAAAAATAATAATAATAACAAGTAATAGAACAGAATATATTCAGGGTATAGTGTATGCACTAGGGTAAATATTATTTCATAAAATTTTTGTTACTGAAGAGTAGGTATGCATGCATAACTGCTGTGAGAGATATATACAGTAAAATTTTTGTTCTATATTGCTTTCAGAAACTTTTGAAAGCCATTTATACCAGGTAGCTTCAGAAAGCATCTTGGGACCTCCTAGATATGGTTATGTCCCATTTAAAATTTCCCCATTGTTCCCACTGTGGCGGCTGAAGCCCAGATTTCCCAGCACAGCAGAACAGCCCCTTCATAATTCTTGCCCCAGAACCATGCCCTCTAAGCTTCCTGTTTCTACAGAACTGCCTCATGTCTCCATGCTTCTCCTGGCATTTTCCCTCAGCTCTAAATGTTCTCTAGCATCCAATAATTCTTCACAGAATTGACCACTCTTTCCCTTAGGCCCTTATTATCTTTACTGACTTATGCCATAGCCCACAGTACATGTTACTGCAGTTAATAATGGTTTAAAAATCTTCCCCATCCTACTATGAGGTCAGGTCGCTGTATCATAAGAATTTTGGTTCTTTCCTTTTCTTATGCATACACTCTGTTCTCTCTTGCTCTTAAAATAACCTTGCTATTTTTAAAAAATGTACATGTTTATTTTCAATGTTTCAAATGACACAAAAAGGCAGTTGAAATATCACCCTAAATCCCACAAACTAAAGATGACCATTGTTAATATGTAAACAAATGTCTCAATCTGCCAGCATACACATATGGAAGTAAGCACTTGAGCACACACATGCATAAACAGACACACAATGTTACATGAATAAGCTCATTTAATTAATCTGACCAATTTTTATTTTCAGCAATGTCCAGGACACTTTGTATGTCAGTGATACACCTGTACATAATTTTAAATGGCTGATTATAATTCCAATTCATGGATTCCTTTGGGTTTTGCTTTGGTTGCTATTTATCAACCTTAAGAACAGTGATCGGAGAGCTGACATCTTAATCTTCATATGCTCTGGGTATCAATTGAAAAGCACTGCTATTGTCCTTATTTTCTTTGGTTAGTTAACAGTCTTGAGCTGGTTTTGTAACTCTCTTCATGGCATTATGCATTATGCCTCCTTCCCTTTATCCTTGGACTAGGTCCTGTTAAAATCTCTGTGTTAGAGAGTCTCCTATGTAGCAATGTAAGGCTGTTAGTCAAACCTTTCTTGAGAGAATCATCCAAAGTTGCAGAGTAAGGATTTAACTTTTGATGGTTTTCTCACCTAGGTCCTAACACAGTGGAATCATGCATATATTTAATATGAATATTTAGAACCTCACTTTCCTAACACAGGGTATGCATCTGCTTTGTACCTGACCTCCCTCTATTCCACAGTCATGAAATTCAAGATGATGTACAATTGTCTTCAATAGGTATTTCCATCTTGCTAACCACTCCTACTCTTTGGTGTATACTAGAATGCTAGTATAGTTCACTAGGTTACCTCCTCTACTCTCTGGGGCCAAAGTCAAGAACTACCATGTATATTATTTTAATAAGTGAAACAACTGGTACAGCTTGGAAAGGGCAAAGCCTCATTATGATTAAAGCTTATTTGTGTCCATTTTTTGTGATCTAACTCAGGAATACATCATTTATTTCTTGACTGTAACTAATAGTCTAGGTATAGTGCATATTGCTCTTATGTATTTTCTCCTGTTTTTTAGCTTCAATTAAAGGGCTCAGGAATTCTTCATGCCTCAGCTTGTGGACTCAACAGTAGAGTGTATTTTCATACTGCACAGCACTAATCCAGCAACTCCCTTAGAAAACCTCTTTTATTTCCATATCTATATCCTATCTCAAATCTCATATCACCAAGTCTCAGGGACGCAGGTATCATAATGCACATTTGCATTTCCATATCTATATCCTATCTCAAATCTCATATCACCAAGTCTCAGGGACACAGGTATCATAATGCACATTTGCATTGCCTTAGGTTTTAATATAATATAAAAATGACATTTATTACCCATGCTCTAGTTATTAGTATATAGAGATCTGAACAGTCATTTCCTTTGCCCTCCCTAATTTATATCATATAATTAACTATAACCTCTCCTATTTCTCTTTCCATTGCCATACCTGTGCTCCTTAATAGCAGTTGTTCTCAACCAGGATAGATTTTGCCCTCAAGGAACATTGGGCAATGTCTGGAAACATTTTTGATTGTCACAAGGATGCTACTGGCTTCTAAATAGTAGAGGTCAGGGATTCTGCTTAATTCCTACAGTGCAGAATGTAAGCCCATTCCCTACATCAAAATGTTTTCTAGTCCAAAATGTCAATAGCACTGAGACTGAAGAATCTTTATGGAAACTGATTTCATGTGTTTCATTTGAACTTTCAGATTTCTCCCACTACTGAGATGTTCAGTTTAATATTTCTCTTGATTCAGACTAGGGACTCAGTAGTAAAAAAAAAAAATGGTTATAGGATATACAATTATATCTCATGTCTCATCTATGCCATTCTTTGGTTTAAATGAGACTGCAACCGTCATCATCAAAAATGTTTCCTTTAGTAGTAAAATAGGATTATATGACCAGTCAACATTACTGCAATTACACGGAATAGAGAATGGGGGACACTGAGGTGTATTTCTAAGTAAAGAATAAAATTGAAAGGGTTAATACATACGATTATCCTCAGATAGTCTCTGCTCCAAATGACATTTGGTATTATGGAAACTGGATTTATAAACAATATATTGAGCAAAATTCCATGTGCAGCTCAAATACTAACAGTTTCCTTTTTTCTCCTCTTTTTTTCAGACATTTCACATTTTCAAGAACAAAATGACTTAAAAGGATTATTAGAAAATCTCCATCAAAATGTCCAAGCCAAAAAAAGAAAGAATGTAGAAATCATGTGGCTTGCTGCATTGGTAAGCACTCTCCAGTCAAATGTTATTCCCTGACACCATGGTAACCAGCAAATATTTTGGGGTGTCTACTATGTAGAGTCCAATCATTGCACTTTGGGTTATGAGTTGTCATCTTCCATTCTGCAGTTGTTATCCTCCATCCTCCAACTGAAAATTAGATATTTTCAATGTTGTTAGTACTTTTATCAATGTACTAGGACACAGGATGGCAGAGGATGCACTCAATGAGACAGACTTTTTCTTACTAGCTTTTCTTATAAACCCTGAATGTGTTTGGCACTTCAAGGTTAAAGTCAAGTGTCTGTGATTTTCTTGACCTGGTATGTTTCAATGTCAATTGCCCATATCAGGATTTTGAAACGCTGCTCTAGAGACAGATGGTTTTAACAGAATATGGTTATCAGATCTCCGACTCACAGCCTCAGTAAGGGTCCTGGACATATTGTCCAATTAGTGAGCTTGTAAATGTGTTTGTTAATTTAGATATTAGCATAGAATTTATTACTGATGGGTTGCTCTTGGGTTAATGAGCTGTATTTTCTATGGTTCTTTTTCATTTAATGGCATCCTCAGGATAAAGATTTGCCCGCTTTCCCACCCCAGGTTTCTAAAGAGTGAGGGAAAGTCATGCCTATATTTTTTAAGTTCTTGTCTGACAGTCATTCAGACATAGCTCACATTAACTTATGAATTTTGTGAAACACTCAGACCCAAAGATACTTTTGCTAGGAAAGGATCCTTTCTTCAGGAAAGGCGCACATTGGAGGTCTCTATGATGCCATGCTGTAGTCACTGCGCAGCACCACTTGTGGGATTTTGAGTTCCTTGTGACCCATCTTCCGACACACTCTGTTAATTCTCTATCAATAGCATTTAAAACAGAACCTTTCCCCTGCTGCCAGTGTTTCAATTATAATCCAGCATCACTTACTCTCTTTGGGGAAAAAGGAATGGATAATTTACTAAGACTATATGAAATAATTCACCAAGAGCAAGGCAGAGCACAGCTGCTTTAGCCTCTCTGCAGCTCTCTTGGAGCCCCAGGGAAGAACATCAAAGGTAACAATGTGAAACGCTGTTTTCAGGCAGCTCATTTACACTGGTCCTATTTAGCAGCATACTTCATTACATGAAGGTTGTTTTTAATAGTTCTTTCCCTGGTGTGGCTGTTCTTTATATTTTCAAAAACTACTGTGGTTGTTAGAAAATTTCACAAAGGTAGATCGTAAGTTATTTTTTGCTACTTCACTGATAATGTGATAGCACAAAGGTAGTTTCATCATTTACCAAGGCTATCTGACAACTTAGGAACATATACATATGTCATTATGTACATGCTGTGGAATTATGTAAATTGATGAAAGTAGGCTGCTCCCGTGCAAACACAAATGTCTATTTCCTCTTAGTATAAATATTTCTATCATTTGGATCTGTAAAAGAGTTTTCCTATAGATCCCAGACATTTGAGATGTATATTCTGACCAAGTATGGCTTACTTACGACTTAACCATTGAATAGATGTTTGCCTGCCCTGATAAATACACAGCAACCATAGTGTGCAATTTTGGCATCCTGTAGGGAAATTGACTTTATTATTAATAGCATTTTTATAGGCTGATACCCCAGTTCAATATCCTATTCATAAACCATGGGCCTTGATAATACTCTTAAAATGACGCAACATAAAAACTCCCTTTGACATTTTCCAAAAAGCTTTTATTTCTCTAGCTCATTTTCCTCTCTTTTTAAAACCCATTAACGAAATACTGCTTTTGTTAATGTTTTACATCTTAATTGAAAAATATAAAGATAGTCAGTTTTATCTTGATTGATTTTTTAAAAATAAAACAGAATTTAAAGAGACCAAATGCCATTCAAGGTGTGTTAAATTAAGCTCAAAAGAGATGTAGAAATACAGAAACCAAGACCCAGCCTCTCTACTCTGATGGAATTGCCCTGCCTCCTCTTGATTTTAAATTTAGGACACTATATACCCTTAGTAAGACAGTTGCTTATAATAGTAACAGTACATTTTAAAAACTATTCATTCTTTTTAGGAATCATCTCATTAAGTAGGCATTGAGGTCTATATTTTATTGCTATGAATATAGTCAAGTCTTTGATATTTTATATTTAAAATTTTGAAATGCTCTTTATTTGAGAGGGCTCGAGTTTTGTAGATGAAAAGATTTCACACTTCCACCTTTTATATTGGAAATAGTGCAGAAGTACCAACTGTTAAATAAGGACTCACAAATTGTAGTTTAAGTATCACAGTCACAGTTAAGACATGGCAAAAACCCTTGATAAACTGTATAATTGAATCCTCTCCTCAAAGCAGGCAACTATTAAGGCCTCTTTGATGGCACGTAATAAAGTGAGTCTGTCTTTTATCATATTAGATTTATTTTAATTGCATGTTGATTAACAGTGTTGATGTTAAAGTTGATTATCGGTATCTCATATTAAAGCCCTACAATGGAATAGGGCGGAGGAAGGACTGGAATGATTCACTTGTTACCCATAAGTCTTAACCATAAGTGAGACAAGAGATTGTTGCTACTTAGAGTCTCTTCTCCTGACTTAGATCAGAGTTACAAAAAGAATTACAGAATGGGACAGAAGTTAAAGGCTTGGTCCTCAGAGTCAGGTAGACTTAGCATCCCGGCTCTGTTTTGTTGCACACAAGGACATTTACCTATGTAAACCTCAATTTTCTCACCTGTAAAATGAGAACAATTACACTTTCCTCTAAGGTTCATGTGCAGTAAATAAAAAAGCACATCTATATGAAATGTGTTCACATTGTAACTGGCGCACAGTAGATGTGCAATTAATGGGCCATTTTTGATGTCCTTATTCCTATTAGTTGTACTGATGAGTGGTTAGTGGTTCCCTTCTCTGCTCTACTGGCACCATATGGATATGTGTAATCTCATAACATACAGCTGAGGGGAGCAAAGGTTTCTTCAATGTAAAGTCAGAAAATATTAGCTACTCTGAATTCAGATCAAGGGTCTGATCCAGCAAATACAGATGTGTGTCTCCTTCACAGTTCAGGCATTGCTCCTGAGCTGTGATTATGGTCATCATCCAGGGCAGCTCAGGCCCCATCTCAGGAAACATCGCTGCCTCTGTTGACATTTACTGTCTCATACAGCTTCAACAGCCCCACACCTCACATACAAACAACTAGATAAATTAAATCTGTGCCACTAGCTTTTGAAATGGGAAGGCAATGTTTTTATATTCGATAGGGCAGACTGAACCAGTTGACTGACATAAATTAACATAAATTTGGTGTGTGTTTAGACAAGAAGTGTTTAGAAGAGTCTGACACTTTAGAGTAAATCTACAAATGAACCATAAACTGTTTATATGTCTGTATTATAGATTTGTCGTAAACTAAATGGTATTCGTTTCACCTGTTGTAAAAGTGCCAAAGACAGGACGTCAATGTCAGTGACACTTGAACAGTGCTCAATCTTGAGAGATGAGCACCAGCTACACAAGGACTTCTTTATCCGAGCCCTGGATTGTATGAGAAGGTATCCATGTCTTCAACTTTGTTTCTTTAATGTCATTTCAATGTTTGTTTGTTTGTTTGTTTTCCCCTTACAGATTTTATTGGAAGACTAAACGTTTGGTAACTTTGCTGCATTTCCATGGTTTATTGCTCATGATATGAAAGACAAAATTATTTTAAGTATTCCCCCTATTCATTTTAGGCAGTAAAGGAGAATGGGTCTAGATTTTGATAATATGCATGAGGGATATATTTCATTAACTCACTTAGACCCAAGTGATCGGCCTCTGGTCCTTAAAGAGCACCATTCCTTTACATATAAGTAGTTATGGAAATGCACAAAATGAAATTAGTTGTTTTCCAAACAAAACCTTTCCAAACTGCAACTAACAGGTTATTTTCCCTTGACTTGCAGGGTCTCTGGGTCAGTAACCTCCTTCCTAAAATTATTTTCACATCACTCATCATAAAGATGGGATGACACCGATACTTTAAAATAGAGAATTAATATTGTTACTCTGCCAACATTTAAAACACTGTGCCTGAAGTCATATCTCTCGATTCATTTCCACAGTAATAAAATCTAAAGTCTGAGACATAATGGGAGGGAAAAAGAGCCTCATTTGAAACGTCTGTCAGCAAGGACACACGTTAATTAAAAAGTTATGCAAAATTGTCTCTTTGCTACAAAGATGGACTCAGAATCACGCCAGGTAGCATGAGACAGGCCCCCTTTCCCTAGAAAGGGATATCATATGATGCTGTAGAAAGCACTGCTACTTACCCACATGCCAGCAGCTTCACCTTTTTCTTTAATTGCTGCAGTCTTTCAGGGAAGATGTTGATGCTTGCCTGCGATCATTCCATGCCTGTATGTTTTCCACACTAATGAGAGATTTCTGAAGTCCTCTGTTTGCCCCATTTTATGTCTCTTGGCATTTTCATTGTTCAATGCAGTTCTATTATAGTTTTTGATAAATATATGAGGATGTCTTAGCGGCCTGACATGAACATCTCAGCCATACAAAATATGTTTCATTGATATTAAAAGTAAAAACAAAAACTTGTTTCAAGAATAATCTCAGCACTAATAAAAAAAATTCAGAATTTGAGTACAAAATTTTCCATTGTATAAAAAAAGAATACAGGTGTCACTCTGGGTGCAACAAAGGTGCTGGGGGAGGGGAGCAGGAGCACATGATATTATAGAACAGACACTAAAGGATGAAAATGATACAACCAACATAAATTAGCTAGATGGTGAGATTGTTACTTGTTTATTTGAGGTAGAGGTGAGGGAGGGACCCTTAAATTAGAAAGGTAATTCTTTTGGATTGGTAAATAAAGGATATATCGGTCATACATGTGGTAAACTACAGAACCACGTATGTCAGTGCTGCACAGGGGGTGTGTGGAATCAACATTATATACATGCAGCACATTTGCTCATTATATAACACATACGGGGTTCATTTTTGTATTGTTAAGTAAGGCACAAGAAATTTAGTCTAAAAATACTTAGACCCTGACTTTCTTATCCACATGACTGCTGATAGTCTTTTTATTTTTTTTGATCAATTTCAAATCTGTTAAATTTACCCTTTGGTTTTGTTTATATGTGAGGTTTGGACTGTGTGAAAACATGAGGTGCTTGTGTGTGTGTGCACGCATGTGCTTCAGAGAATAAGATGTATTCTTTTCTTTAACAACTGCCCTCCTTTCCTTCTTTGGGTGTTTTGTATTGCAACCCAAGTGCATAGTTTTGTGAGCTCTGGCTACAGAGTGCAGGAGACAGCGTGCGGCATGGCAGCCGGCTGATCTGAGTTTGAATCCCACCTGTATGCCCTTCTTAGCAATGAGCAAATTAATCTTTTACTTCCTCTTAGTGCCTTAGGCAAGTTAGTCAACCTCTTGTTGCCTCATTTCTAAAACAGATCTAATAATAACTTTAGCCCTTCTTAGGAGAATCTTGAGGGTTAATGAATTGTTATGTTTAAAGTGATTAGAACAATGTTTAACACACAGTAATCACTATATAATAATTGTTAAATAAATTTTAAAATCAAGGATCATGCTGTTAACATTCTGGTCCTCCAGGTACAGTAAAACCTAGCCAATTATGGTCCTTGTAATCTTTGTAAATATATTATGATAGAAGGTTGCACTCCCACCATATATTAAAATAAAACTGTGAAAGTTCTTGTAAATAAGGTTTCAAATGCAATATTTTAGCTATTTAAGAAACTAAGCTTTTTAAGTACAAACTTAAAGTGGTCAAGTGTACATGTGTTAATGAATGCTGTGCTAATTATGGATGCATTATGTTCATTAACATAAGCATGAATAGATTTCTTATAAATATTTTTATCTTAATGTGTATTATTGTATGCTTTTACAAATAGTCATAGAACTTGACATCAAGGAGACACTTCAGAAATTAAGTCAAATGTGCTTCACCTTATAAATAATAAAACTGAACTCTAGAGAGTGTTTTGGCAAAGACTCCCCAGATAGAAAGTACTAGAGCAGCACCAGAACATAGATTCCCTATTTTTTTCTAATTAAGATATCATTGATATACAATCTTATGAAGGTTTCACATGAGTAATATTGTGGTTTCAACATTAACCTACATTATCAAGACCCCCACACACACCCCATTACAGTCACTGTATATCAGTGTAGTAAAATGCTATAGAGTCATTGCTTGTCTTCCCCATGCAGTACTACCTTTCCCATGACCTACCTATGAGGGCTAATTGTAATGCCCCTTATTCCCTTTTTCTGTCCCTCCCCCCGACCTTCCCCAACCCCTTCCTTTTGGTAACCGCTAGTCCCTTCTTGGAGTCTATGAGTCTGATGCTGTTTTGTTCCTTCAGTTTTGCTATTGCTATAGTCCATAAATGAGTGAAATCACTTGGTACTTGTCATTCGCCACCTGGCTTATTTCACTGAGCATAATACCCTCAAGCTCCGTCCATGCTGTAGCAAATAGTAGGATTTGTTTTCTTTCTATGGTTGAATAATATTCCATTGTGTATATATACCACATTATCTTTATCCAGTCATCTATTGATGGACACTTAAGTTGCTTCCATACTTGACTATTGTAAATAGTGCTGCGATAAACATAGGGGATACATATGTCTTTTTGAATCTGGGATCTTGTTTTCTTTGGGTAAATTCCTAGGCATGAAATTACTGGGTCAAATGCTATTTCTATTTTTGGCTTTTTGAGGAGCCTCCATATTGCTTTCCAAGCGGTTGAACTAATTTACATTCCCACCAACAGTGTAGGATGGTTCCCCTCTCTCTTCATCCTCACCACAATTTGATGTTTCTTGTCTTTTGGATGTTGACCATCTGAACTGGTGTGAGGTGTTATCTCATTGTGGTTTTAATTTCATTTCCTTGATGATTAGTGATGTAGAGCATCTTTTCATGTGGCTTTTGGCCATCTGAATTTCTTCTTTGGAGAAGTGTCTCTACAGACTGTCCACCCATTTGTATATCAGGTTGTTTTTGGGGTGTTGAGATATATGAGTTCTTTATATGTTTTGGATGTTAACCCCCTCTTGAATAACTAGTTTATGAATATATTCTCCCATACTGTAGGATGCCTTTTTGTTCTGCTGATGGTATCCTTTGCTGTACAAAAGCTTTTTAGTTTGATGTAGTCCCATTTGTTTCTTTATGCTTTTGTTTCGCTTGCCTGAGGAGATGTATTCAGGAAAAAGTTGCTCATTTTATATTCAAGAGATTTTTGCCTATGTTTTCTTCTGTGAGATATATGTTTTCACAACTTACATTCAGGTCTTTGATTAATTTTGAGTTTACATTTATGTATAGAGTTAAACAATAATCCAGTTTCATTCTCTTACATGAAGTGTCCAGTTTTGCCAAGAACAGATGTTGAAGAGACTGTCATTTCCCCATTGTATATCCATGGCTCCTTTATCATCTATTAACTGGCCATATATGTGTGGGTTTATATCTGGACTCTCTATTCTGTTCCATTCGTCTATGGGTCTGTTCTTGTTCCAGTACCAAATTGTCTTGATTACTGTGACTTTGTAGTAGAACTTGAAGTTGAAGCGAGATCCCCTCTGCTTTATTCTTCCTTCTCAGGAATGCTTTGGCTATTCAGGGTCTTTTGTGGTTCCATATGAATTTTAGAAATGTTTGTTCTAGCTCGTTGAAGAATGCTGTCAATATTTTGATAAGGATTACATTGAATCTGTAGATTGTTTTAGGTAGGATGGCCATTTTGACAATATTAATTCTTCCTTTCCATGAGCACAGGATGTATTACCATTTATTGGTTTCTTCTTAATTTCTCCCATGAGTGTCAAGTAATTTTCAGGATATAGGTCTTTCACTTCCTTCTTTAGGTTTATTCCTAGGTATTTTATTCTTTTTGATGCAATTGTTAATGATGTTTTTTCTTGATGTCTCTTTCTGCTAGTTCATCGTTAGTGTATAGGAATGCAACAGATTTCTGTGTATCCTGTAACTTTGCTGAATTTAGTTATTAGTTTTCATAGTTTTGGGGTGGATTCTTTAGGGTTTTTATGTACAATATCATGCCCTCTGCAAACAGTGACAGTTAAAATTCTTCCTTACCAATCTGGATGCCTATTATTTCTTTGTTTTGTCTGATTGCTGTGGCTAGGACCTCCAGTACTATGTTGAATAGAAGTGGGGAGAGTGGGCATTTTTGTCTTGTTTCCAATCACAGAGGAAAAGCTTTCAGGTTTTTGCTGTTAAGTATGATGTTGGCTGTGGGTTTCCCATATATGGCCTTTATTATGTTGAAGTACTTGCCCTCTATACCCATTTTGTTGAGAATTTTTAATCACAAATGGATGTTGAATTTTTTCAAATGCTTTTTTTGCATTTATGGAGATGATCATGTGATTTTTGTCGTTCTTTTGTTGATGTGGTGGATGATGTTGATGGATTTTCATGTATGGTACCATCCTTGCATCTCTGAAATAAATTCCACTTGATCATGATGGATGA